ATGTGAAACAATAATATTTTTACTGTTGTTCAACCGGATTTTTTCGTTCACAATATCGTTATCAGTTAAAACATCCTGCTCATCAACGAATTGTTCGATCAGTGGTTCGGCAAAATTTTTCGTACGATTTTCTTATCGTGTGTACGGGGCATTACTTTGCCGGGGTGGGGATGTGTGTATTGTTGTTTACTTTGTAGTCTCTCCATGTCAGACAAAAATGTCAGTCATGCGTAAGGTTGATAAATGACATTCTGTCTGGTTGCTGGAGCCAAATAAAAGTGTTGAGTGCCTTTTAGTTGTCTTTCTTTCTAATTCTGACAACACCCTTGTTGCATGGCAGTTTTGGTCAGGTCTGTTTCCAGAACTGAGCTCAGGCAAGAGATAGGATACAGCCGTACACTTTTGCTCTGGCAGGGAAATTCAAGTTTTCCCTACAAAGTAAGGCTGCACTATAGAATGAATACGTTTTTAGCTCTTGGTTGTTTCAATACTTTTAGTGATGTAGTGCAAGTGGTATTGACAGTACCATCTGCTGAAATTTTCTCTGCCTTTTGACAACATGGGGCATGGAATATTTTATTTTTTCCTGATTGTAGACTGCAGTATCTGAATAAAGGATGTTTATTCAGATAGAGTGATAGCCTGTTAATAAGTATGTGCCCTTAAAACACCTTTTTGGCTGCAGTTTATCAGAATGTAAACATAGTACAAATCCATGCCTAATTGTGAGCAATCACTCTTTTATGTGCCGCCAGACTGATTAAGCTCGCTCACATAACAGTTGAGCTTTGTCTGCTCAGTTATGGGAGTAATGTAGGTGGTACCACAAGAATGTGTGAATGATTACACCTTGCCAGTACACATACTCTGCTTCATGACTTATTTTTACTTATAGTGTGTATTTGTACAAGTGTACAGTTTACACGTTTACATTGGCTTCCCCATACTGCATTGTAGCATTGGGAATAGGTTCTAGAAACTAGCTCCCCCTCACACTGAATGTCAGGCAAAAAAGCTTTATTTATGCACAATTAACCAGCTTCTAATAAAGACAATGGGGTTGATTTACCAAAGACAAATAGTCTGTTCACTTTAAAAGGGAAGTTGCACTTTGAAAGGGCATTTGCCCAAGATATAGAATGAGGTGAAGCTCTGCTGTCTTTTATCATCCAATTATGTGCAATCAAAAATGCTGTTATTTTTTTTTTTTTTCCTTTGCATGTGATCAGGTATTCTTTACCAAGCAAAACTTTACCAAATGCTATGTTCAGGGCCGAAGTCCTTTTCAAAGTCAGCAGCCAATTTCTTTGTAGTAAAGCAACCCTAATAACTTTAAGTAAGAATTCATTGTAACCTATTATACACATTGACTGTTCAGCAGGAAAGATTTGAATGCTCTCTGTGGTCTCCGGAACACGGTGCCGCCATAGTCTGGAACACTCAGTTAGCTAAGTGTCTTTGTAAAGTTAATACAGAGAGGCAGAAGGAGGTAGCAGACATATGGCACTTTTTATTTGTTTATTGCACTCATTTATCACAGGCATGTGGTTTTGTTTTTTTTGCAGAGACTGAGGAGGCAGGTTAGCTTGCTCTCATTTTGGGGACATATCCTGTGGTCCTTGGGTCTTTTTCCTTTTCCCAACTGGGGGTCTCTTTTCGGGAGAGCCCTCACCAAGTATTGAAGGACCTGCTTCGGCAAGTCCCTAAGGAGTGGGATCCACCTGGCTTTGGCCTAGGTAGACCAAAATGCATTGACCCTGTCAAGAGCTTTGTGCTTCGGGGCTCAGAGTTTTAGGCCTTCCTCATCTGAGTTTAATCCTATTCTGTACCTTTTTTGTCTGGTGTGATTTCACTGCTAACTTTTTTGTTCACTGGGGATCAACTAAGCACGCACCGCACCACAGAGCTCCATAAAAGGAAAACAAAGCTATGCAGATGGGCGGAATTGATGCTACCTATCTAGGAAAAGGACTTTTTTTTTAGCAAGTCCAGTTGATGTTCTTACCACCATGAGCAGTTAGTAAGTGGACATCAGCCTCGCCCCCTAGACAGGATTGTCAAAGATTTGGGCTGAAATGGCCAGATTGAGTGAGTTTTAGGTTTATGTGATGCTTAAGTGTTTTCACAACTGCTGCTTTATATATTCCTTGACTCATTGAAAGGATAATTTGGGTGCCTGTTGACACAGCTAAATTGTTGGCTGCTTTCTTCATGACTTTCTCAGCGCTGGCAGTATTGGGCACAGCTTCTTTTTCCTAAGTGCAAACTTAACAGTACTTTTTTGTTAAAAGAGAAGTGTGCAATTTAGAAAAAAAAAAACAATAATTGTGTGTCTGCAACATTGATGTTGCAGCTGTTAATGGATAGCTCTATACTGAAAACTGAACAATCAAAGACCACTGATCGCTTAGTTCACGGGTTTGCTCTGAGCACTGTCAGTCACCAGCTCTCTGCTGCGACCCTCCCGTGCTCACTGAAGCACCAAGCTGTGGAGGGGGAGGGAGCGGCACGTTGCGAGGTTGAGCCAGTTGCCGGTCAGGCACGTGGGTGGATTCCGACATTATTGCACATTGAAACTGGTCAGTTTTGACCAAATGTTTGAATGACATTCACCAACGCCCAATCAGAGAGACCCTGCCTGACAACTTGATAGAGAAAACTAATGGCGTTTTTAAAGGCGCCATACCACAAAAATACAATTACCAACTATATACCAAATACAACTTTATTGATAAAATTCATCAAAAGGATGCCGGACTTGGTGCATGTGTGCTTTCTGACCTGGCGGCTTGTTTTCTTTCTGGTGCATCCTGATGGTAGCTGACTGGTGTTTGATCTTTGATGTCTTTATACAATGACTTCTTAAAAACGGCCATGATCATGTGACGTCCGACGTCATGGCACGTCAGCTGGTGATTCCGGGCGCCATGATTTTATGCATTTACGTCGATGACAACGACGCGCATGCGCCGCAGGGCGGGAACGCCTGTATTTTGGTGGTTTAGTTCGCTATTTAAGGCATAAACAATGGAGACTGCACCTCTTTGGCTGTGTCTTTTGGTTGGATCGGCAGCACCATTTCTGCTGTGTTTCCAGAACCGTTTTAGAGCACCATTACTACTATATAGGGATCTGTTTCCTTTTTGCCAGAGGGACTTTGACTGTTGGGAGCCGCTTGTTCAACTATAAGAGCACTCTGTCTGACCTGGTATGCATCCAATTAACAGTTATTAATGGACCTATTCAGTATGTCTTCCCTTTCTCTTTGTATTGAGGAGAGTAGAACAAACTGTTATAAATTTTGTAATAGTGAATTTGAGATCCCATTAGGGGTTATGGTAGACATTTTGTCTTGCTTGTACTGTAGTTCCCTTTTTTTAGGGTCTTTATATGTAATTAGTGTGGGGAGCAGGGGTGTAGTTTGTAATTCCCTGGGACACTTTAAACATCTTTGATCTTTTTGATGAGTTTACAATCTCCTGCTGCGGACCGATAATTTGTGTTCAATTGGCAGACATCGATATTCCCTAAGTGAGAGATCCTTCTTACCTTTGTCTGGACTGTATGCTCATGCTCTTTTCCACTGGCCTCCTGCGAATTCTTTGATGTCATTTTGGGTAAATGCCAATGGAGTGTGTTAGATTTATTATTATGATTTCAATGTTATATGTTTATTTTAAATTTTTGGTTTTTTGTATAATTTCAGAGTTTTTATACTTTTTCCCTGAAGAAGCGGGCTGTGTCCCACAAAACGCATTGGAGAACAAAAGCCAAGTATTTACTTGTAATAACTGTGTCAGTTATGGAGAGCAATAGCAAAGAATTCTTGTACCAATTATGCTAGTTATGCTAGTCATGATATCTATCTATCTGAAGCCTCATTTTGCACCAACTTTTTAAGAAGAATGTACTATGCGCTCAATTTTTGATTACCACAACAGTGGTTAGAATTTTATCAATAATGTTGTATTTTCTATATAGTTGGTAATTGTATTATTGTGGTATGGCGCCTTTAAACCCCATTAGTTTTTTTAGTCAGGGATGGTATCTTCAGTGTCTTATTAAGGGGTGTGGCACCAATAAATCCCGTTAGCAAGGGGGGGATGATATGACTTTGGATCTCCATCTCCCACCTTCTGCTCTCTATTAATATCTTGATAGATAAATCTGTGTGTGTATGGCTAGCCTTATTCTTCTTGTGGAATGGGACTGGTTCAGATACCTCTTTTCTTTCCTGTCTTCAATCTGAGCACACAGAGCAAATCAGACTCCCAAAACGTTACTCCTGGTTGGCCCTGCTGTAACCCTGTTCTGCTACACGAACTTTAGATTACTTGGCTCCTCGTGTATGTTTGCAGCTCCTGTGCTGGAAATGTATTCCTAATGAAAATACAGGTGAAGACAAATCCTATTTCTTCCCCCTTCAATTTCCATTAAGCCTTGCTCATTATTAGCCCTAATACATTACAGCACATAGCTAGAATTCTGAGCTTTGAAATAAGAATTTGCAAGCTTAGCTAAAATACCTTGAGTATATACGAAGCTAAATCCTGGGTATGAAAGCAGGAGACAGATCAAAGCTTTTGAGATTTTTCATTTAATAGGGAAAAAAAGGGCAGCATGACCCAGCTGGCGCATGGAATTCTATTAATCTCAAAGTGTGCTTGTTAAAGGGCAGCTAAAGGCAACAAGTAAAATCGATAAGGGAACTGCTAGTGTTGGCCAGGAATAGTCACTGTTCTGAAGTCAGATAGTTTATTCAATTTATTTAATTCATAATCTGAGTTTTATGTGCTTAGTTGCAGACAGATTTAGTAGGCTCTCACATTTGCTTCTGGCTAGAACTAGTCATAGGTTTTAGATGGGAGTTGGGAATGCTGACATCATCTACAAATGTTCAATTTAATATTCATCCAGTAGATTTCCTATGTGCCTGTTAAAGCAGGCTGATTATCAGGGCTAGATTTTTTTTTTTTTTTTGGCTCAACAATTGTGTACTATCCACCATCTGTGGAACATCCAGTATAAAAAAAACAAATTAAAGGATATATATTTACAAAAAAATCCCATTTCTTTTAGTTCCTGTTCTCGAATTGTATCCTGAAGTTTTGTTTACACCATTGGTAGTCAATTAATTTGGTATAGACCCATCTCCAAAGGGTTCAGCTAAAATTCAGTTAACGTAATGCTACAGAAAGATGCCAGAAACGGCAGACATGCAGCAGAGGATGGCCAAAGTATTGATGCCTAATACATGAGATTGTACAGTACGGGAGATGGTCAGAGACTGGGGGCACAATACAGGAGATGGTCAGAGATTAAGGGCGCAGTACAAGAGAAGGTCAGAGACTGGGGGGCACAACACAAGAGATGATCAGAGAATGGGGGTACAATACAGGAGATGGTCAGAGAATGGGGGTACAATACAGGTGATGGTCAGAGAATGGGGGCACAATACAGGAGATGATTAGAGACTGAGGGAACGAACAGTGTTTATGGTTTTTGTTATATAAAGTGAATACATTCTAAAATTGAATGTTAAAAACAAACCAAATTTTGAAGTACTTTTGACTGACATTTGTGCAAAAACCTTCTAGTATATGGCCAGCTTTAGCGTGAGTTTTTAAAGATTAATCATTTTTAATGGATTTCTTGGAATGTGAAGAGTGGAGTAGCATGGAAATCCTATGTGATAGGCAGGGCTGGATTTTGGTATAGACCAGGGGTGGGCAACTGTGGCCCTCCAGCTGTTGTAGAACTATAAGACCCATGAGGCATTGCAAAACTGACAGTTACAAGCATGACTCCTAAAGGCAGAGGCATGATGGGACTTGTAGTTCACCATCATCTAGAGGGTCACAGTTTCCCACCCCTGGTATAGACCAAAGATGACTAGCCCTAAGAATACATGACTGTAAGCGTCGCACCTGGATGCCTGCCAGCATCAGATATGTCACAATAAGGGGTCCTATCACATGGATCCCTTTTTGCTTTTGTGTATAAAAAAAAGAAAAACACGGGACCATGTATTCCTACGGAACTCTTTACACTGATCTGTTGCGAGTCTGGTGCACTTTTTAAAATCCTGCTTGCTGCGTTTTTGGTGCGGACCAAAAACAAACCTCTCCATTGAAATCAATGGAAAATGCAGCAAAAGCACACACGTGTTGCGTTTTTTGGTGCGTCTTTTTGAATCCTGTGAAAAACGCACTGCAAACATGGTAAAAAAGTAGCAAAAACTCATGTGCGTTTTTGCTGAAGATCAGTGTGGAAGTAGCCTAACATGGGCAGTAGTGTAAAGTTTCCCATGCTGCGTGTCCTGCTTGCAGATTGAGTACGGAAGTGTCATTCATTACTGGCTGCCTCCGTGCTTTCAACACCAGCCCTAGTATATGAGAGCCCAAGTGACACTGCTTCCTGATGATTGCAGGGCAGCAAGGATGCTTTTAGACACATTCTGATGGAAGAGGAATGTATGTTCATTTTTTATGCATCATCCTGCTTTATATACTGTATATTAGCATGACAAGAATGGTGGTATAAACATTATGTATATAGTATTCAATGTGCTTTTATTTTAGATATATATTGTAAGGTGTTGGCTGACAGGATTGTGGACAGTGTGTATGTGCCATTTTTAGGCTTTTCTTATTCACATGGTGAGGGGCTCAAGTATGGTTGATTTGCAGAAATGTTTTATTCTGTGTAAAGCTCATGACTCTCTCCACTGTGTTAAAAGGCTGATTCCTGACAAAATGCTAAAAAGGTACAAGTGTTGCGTGTTTGTGTTGGGTAACCCATTACAGGGGAACCCTGATAGTTAGTTTAAGTGGTTAGCAATTCTGCCTGGCAGCACTTAGGTTGTCGGTTTGAGTCCCAACCATGTCACTACCTGACTGCAGTTTGCATGTTCTCCCTGTGCCTGCGTGGGTTTCCTTTGGGTACTCCGGTTTCCTCCCACATTCCAAAGACATGCTGGTAGTTTTAATTGGCTCCTGTCTAAACTGGCCTTAGTGTATATGTATGAATGTGACTTAGGGACCTTAGATTGTAAGCTCCTTGAGGGCAGGAACTGATGTGAATGTGCAATATATATGTAAAGCGCTGCATAAAATGTTGGCGCTATAGAAGTACCTGTAATAAATATTAATAATACATTTCTAACCTGCAATAAAAAGAGGTATGGTACTCACAAACGACAATAATGTCAAAGACACATCATGAAAAAACAGCACTGTCCAATCCACACTACGTGTCTGTCCACAGAGCCCTGAGGAAGAGGCAAGTCCTCGAAACGCGTTAGCCTGTTGGAAGTCCAGGGTTCCCATTGTGGACAGACATGTAGTGTGGATTGGACAGTGCTGTTCTTTCATGATGTGCCTTTGACAATATTGTTGTTTGTGAGTATAATACCTATTTTTATTGCTTTAATAAAGGTCTTTTTAGGTAATGCACTAGGCCGGAGTGCCCTCTGTTTGTTTTCTTTATATCCAGTACATTTGGACTTCCCCAGGCCTCTGAGGGCAGCAAGGAGTGCACATTCGAGGACATCCGAGATGTGGTCATAGCCCATATTGAGTTCATCCCCAAGTGCAGGAATATTTGGGTTTGCTGTTTTTGAATGGGCTGCTATGCCTTTGCAAATGCGGGCCGCAAATCGGGCCGCAAATCCTCATGATGTGAGCCAGGCCTAAGAAAGAATTTCTTCTACTTTCTAACTTTGGAGAGAACCTGCCTTACTTTTGTGTCTACAGAAAAGAAAGGAAAGACAATCCTCACCAACAGGACAGAAAAAAAGTACTTGTTGGGTTTTAACCATTCGCTTAACACGTAGAGCCACTGTTGGTTTTTCTAATTTCCTCAGACTGCTTTTGATTTTTTTTGACCCCGTCATCTCTCACCAGACAGGGCTTCCAGGAGCTTCCAAAAAAATGTTCTGCACAATTACTTGCTGCTCTATAATAAACACTCTATGGTGCCTGGGTCAGATTCTCATTGACTTCATTGGGATTTCTGTTTCAGAAATTCCAAATTTCTTAAAATGTTTGGCAGAAGTAAAACTAATCAAAGTTTTCAGAAGTTTGCTCATTGTTAGTGTCTACAATGAAGGCAAGTATTTCAGGGCTTAAGGTGGCCATACATGGCTCGAAATTCAGCCATTTCAGCAGGGACTGTCTGAATTTTGTTCCATGTATGGACAGGCTGGTTTGTGAGAAGGTGAACTACCAGTCGAATTCTGTACAACTGGCCTGTCGTGTTTTTTGTTTTTCCAGATCGATCTGTGCCGCTGGCTCTGCACTAATCCGTGTATTCTAATGGTGGTGAAATCTCCCTGCTTTCAGAATAAAATAACCCAGCGGGAGGGATTCCCCATTAGCCTTGAACGTGAAGATGGGGGAGTTGTTTTTTTTTTTTTTTTTTCATTCAACCCGCTGGTTGAAAAAAAAAAAAAATGTATGGGGTGCCTTAGCTTTGAGGGAAAAGTTGGATGGGCAGGTTAGCAGAGTTCTCTTAACCGACAGATTTGCTTTAATGGAGGGAGTGAAGCCCAGTGCTGGCTTATTTCTAAGAAACGATACTGTGGGCTAAACAAATTCCAACTGGCCATTTGACAACTTCTCCCAAGAATGACCCACTAGGATTGTATGAGGCTACCCACAGAGACAAAGCTGTTTGACCAGTCTTGCTGGAGTAAGGTTGGAGTTGTTATACACGGAAGCAGCTGTGGTGGGGTTGTGGAGTACTTATGAGGGCTTAGCCCATTTCCTGTGCTGGGCTCCATGCATCTACCATGGCAGCCACCTTACATTTTTAAGGATCAGTATACCCCAAGCTAATATTTCCATATCACTCAGAGACAACAGTTATACTTAAAGGATAAGTTCACCTTTTGGACAAAAATAATGAATGCACATTATTTTGCAGGTAAAATAATGTACATCTATTATTTTTGTCCAAAGGAGCCTGTAAAAGCATTGGACCAGCGATCAGTAGATCACTGATGCCATGCAGGTCTCCTGCAGACCTGTCAGAATATCTGCTTGCCGTACGGGATGTACAATCAAGCAGATATTCTGGCAGGAAGCTTCAATGAACTACCACGGCGCTCCACAGAGCCATGGTAGTTCATTGAAAGCTACAAGCCGACAGCCGCTAAGGCTGCCAGGACATGTAGGCTCTCATTCACAGAACTCTGAATGAGTGACAGGGCCGTGTGGGCGGAGCTCTGTTCAAATTTGACAGATTAGTACAAGGAGACTTCTCCCTGTACTGTCTGTCAGAGGGAGGCGGGGGCAGCTACGGCTATGGGAACATGTTACATGTTCCAAAGGTGAACTTATCCTTTAAGGTATCACAATCATAATACTGTGTTACTATGGGGTTTCTCTTATGTACTTTTTCAGGTAAAGTCTCACTTCTGCTGTATTTTTATGCAATATGAATTAAGTTAAACCAACCTATTGTAACGGCCATGGCTTGTGGGCTATAAGCTTAAGCATAACAATGTTACAGACATCGTACCCTTGATTGTTTAGTGTTGACCTAAAATGCCACGAATATTATAGACTAAATGTATTTTGGAACTGTTACAGCATACTTTAACCACTTGCCTCCCAGCCACTGTAGAAATATGGTGGTAGGTCGGCACGACTGGGCAAAAGCACGTTTTAAAACATCCGGTTGCAAAACAGGTAGGGGGCATGCGTGAGGCGCACTGCCGTCCTACCTGCACCGCTGATCCTGGCCGCGGCTGTCAGTCGCCCGGCCGTGTCCCGCCGATTAGCGGCAATCACTGACAGAGAGCAGGGCTGCAGTAGCTCTGCTTTCTGTCAGTTCTCTGACGGCTCCTGACACGCTGATCAGGAGAGAAGAGTTTATCTCTCCTGATCAGCATGTCCCCTAGTAAAAACACTCCCCTCACACAGTTAACCCTTTCAGTGAATAAAAAAGTTAACCCCTTCCTCCCCAGTGCCATTAGTACAGTGTCAGTGTTTTTTTTTTTTTTTTTGCACTGATCACTGTATTGGTGTCACTGGAGGTGTCAGTGACCCCAAGTCAGTTCCCCCCCAGTCCTGCCATAAGTCGCTGATCACC